GCACAGTATGAAATGAAGTAAATTTTTTTTTTTGTATATGGATATCCATAATAAGTACTACTTATTGAAAAAACTGTCCTTTATCCTAAGTTCCCTTTGCAACCTGTCCTAAACTGATTGATTCCATTTCTGAACTCTGTTTCCTTGGTCTGTGTATCTGTCATTTTGTCAATACCACATTGTTTTGATTACTCTAGGGTTTTTTTTATGTTTTAAAATAATTGTGTGATTCATCGTGTGATTCATCGTATTCCCCCCAAATTGTTTTGCTTAGGGGTTCCTTTGCCTTTCCATATAAACTTTATGATTAGCCTGTTTATATCTACAAAAAATCCTGCTGGGATTTTTTTTTTTATTGGAATTGAATTAAATCTGTAAGTCAGTTTGGGGGAAAATTGGCATATTAACTATCTTGAGTTTTTAAATAGATGAACATGAAATGTCACTTCATTTATTTATGTCTTTAACATTTTTTCTTTCATGATTGTTGTATAGTTTTCAGCTTAGTGATTCTCCACAAATTTTGTTAGGTTTATACCTGTATTTCTGTTGTTGTTCTTGTTAGAGTTATTGAAAAATGATACTTTAAAAAATTTGTTTTCTAATCGTTCATTACTGGTGTATAGAACTACACCAGATCTTGCTAAACTCATAAGGTGTAGAAGCCTTTCTGTAGATTCCTTGGGATTTTCTACATAGACAATCATAACCTCTGAGAATATTGTTTCCATTATAGTGTGAATGACTATTTTTCTTTCCTTATCATACTGGCAATGACTTTCAGTAAAATATTGAATTATGAGTAATGGGAATGGACATGCTTGTTTAATTCCCAGTCTCCGTGGGGAAGCATCAAGTGTTTCCCCTCTAAGTATGATGTTAGCTGCAATTTTTCTTTAATACTCTTTTATAGATTGAGGAAGTTCCCTTCTGTTCCTTGTTCGGTGGGTTTTTATCATGAATGGATGTTGGGGGCGCCTGGGTGGCTCAGTTGTTGAGCGTCTGCCTTCGGCTCGCGTCATGATCCCAGGGTCCTGGGATCGAGCCCCGCATCGGGCTCCCTGCTCTGCGGGAAGCCGGCTTCTCCCTCTCCCACTCCCCCTGCTTGTGTTCCCTCTCTCGCTGTGTCTCTGTCAAATAAATAAATAAAATCTTTAAAAAAAAATTATTATCATGAATGGACGTTGAATTTTGTCAAATGCTTTTTCGTTATCTATTGATATGATCATGTGATTTTTCTTATTTAATCTGCTGAATTACGTGGATTGATACTCAAATATTGAACCAGTCTTGATTTCTGAGATAAATTCTACTTGATTGTGATCTTTTTATTTATACGTTTTATGTATCATTGGATTCAAATTGCATATATTTGTTGAGGATTTTTGCATCTCTATTCCTAAGGTATGTTTATACTTTTTATTCCTTGTATCATTAACTGTCTTGGATCTTTTTCATGCCTATAAATGTGTGTGTGTGTGTGTGTGTGTAAATATATATACATCTGATATGTCCTGTGGCCTCTTGTAGATATTTTTATTCTTTTTTGTTTATTTTTTAAATCTTAGATTTGTGTGGAGTTTACTTGCAGGTATGACACTACCACAAACATGCACTCATTCTGTTAGTTTTGGTTAGCTCAACATTCAGAATTTTATTACATAACTTTCTGTTTTTAGATTGCATTTCAATGCATCAGGTGTTCTGTCCATTTTTTTCTCTTTAAAGAGATCTCTCCTGGAGTCTTCTAAACAACTCCAATATGGTTAGGCTGCCCTCTGTGCCTGGTTATAACTATCACCTGGAATCATCGTGGGATTCCCTTCCTCTCTTTCCTTTGTTCAGTATCCTCTATTTTCTTGGTTCATTTCCCCAGAGTGGGTGTTGGGGGTTATATAGATTAGTGGTGGAATGATAAGTGATTTTGGAAAGATAATAAAAGGCCAGATCATGAAAAACTTTGTATGCTTTGGTAAGGGTTCATCTCAAGGATTGCAGCAACTATTGAGGATATTTTATAGGTGAATAACATAATATTCGCTGTTGGAGAAGATCACTGTGGCTATCACTTGTGAAATAGATGGAAGAAAGCAAAGTTATAGTAATTCAGGAAAAATATGATGGTGCATTGAAATAGAAGGCAACGTTAGTGGGGGTATCACTCTCACAGTAATTGGGGATCAATTGGACATGGGAGGAAGGAGGAGTCAAGGAAGATGCTCAGGTTTATTAAGTTTGGTCTTGAATTGATGATCCTCAGAGGGCGAGTATCATGTTTAGGGTAGGTTCTGAGTTTAGTGTTGGATGTGCAGTTCAAAGGATTGCAGTATACCCTTTACCCACATTTAGCAAATGTTAGCATTTTACCATGTTTGATTTATACTTTCTTTCTTTTACCATGTGTGTGTGCATGTGTGTGGCCAAAATGAGAAGAGGTTGGAGACCTGATGGTCGTTTACTTTTTTTGTTTGTTTTGTTTTGGTTTTTGATGCTCCTTTACTTTTAATTACTTTACTGAATATTCCCTAAAAACAAGCCATGGATTTAAAAAGAAGTTAACATTTAAAATTTAACGTTACTAACTCATCTACAGACCTCATTCAGATTTTGCAATTGTCCCAGTAATGTGCTTTTACGTGAAACAAAGTTGCCAGATCTTGAATTGCATCAGCTATCATGACTTTTTAGTCTCCTGTAATTGGAACAGTTTTTCAGTCTAAGGCTAATGGATCTTTGAGTGGTTTTGGAATTATGTGTTTGTATGTGTGGCAGGTGGTATTAATGTGGGAAACAGATTTGTAATTGTGGTACTTGGGCCCAGGGTATAAATTAGAATGGGAATTGACTGTGGAGAATTGGGTTTTCTACTGTCTACCTGCTGGAAAGGTGGAAACAGATCTATTACTCAAAGATACCTTAGTGTTGATTTGTTTTTTAACCCTAGGTGATGAATTAGCTTGATTATTTTGTTCAGGACCTGGTGAGACTCATGCATAGGTATAGATACGTAGGTATTTCTCCATCCTTAAATAAAAGCAGGTGCCTGACTATGTAAATTCGTCCTGCTTGGCAGCATAGCACCCAGTGTAAAAGGACCGTGGCATGGCCAAAAAATCGAACTGCTTACATTTGCCTTGGACACAATAGTGTCACTGTTAGGTGTTTGCTTCTCTTCAGGACCTTTGGGAAGTTCCACTCTTGCTCTGTGTAGCCATCTTGCTAACAGTACAATCCAGTATTCCTGCCTGCTTACATTCATTAACTCTGTGTGCATATATGTATGTGTCTGCATTTCCTTTTTGCATATCAATAGGTACCTGAGACGATGTACAATCTGTTAGAAGGGAAAATAATACAAATAGTAGTCAGTATGTGTTCCTCTCTGTTGTATTATGCCTTTGGTTACAGAATGTTATAGAAATACAGGTTCTTCTTTTGGGTATTCATATATCTGTAGGACCTTAGTTATATAGACTAGAGATGTGTTTTCTATAGACGCAGGTTTGTACAGATGTTCACGTGTACATGTAGTTGTGACTTGCAGTTTTTCTAGTTATTTATTGCCACACTTCCTGTTGGGTGGTTGAATGGTTAAGAGGAAGGCTTTGTTGTCCCACTGGCCTTGATTTCAATCCAACTCTTTGAATTGGTTAACTTTTCAAGATTCATTTTCCTCTTTAAAATAGGGATAACGGGGCGCCTGGGTGGCTCAGTCGTTAAGCGTCTGCCTTCGGCTCAGGTCATGGTGCCAGGGTCCTGGGATCGAGCCCCACATTGGGCTCCCTGCTTGGCGGGAAGCCTGCTTCTCCCTCTCCCACTCCCCCTGCTTGTGTTCCTCTCTCGCTGTTTCTCTCTCTGTGAAATAAATAAATAAAATCTTTTTAAAAAAATAAGTAAAATAATATAGGGATAAATTGGGGTGCCTGAAACTATGGAAAGAGCCAAGATGTCCATCAACAGATGAACGGATAACAAATATGTGGTATATATATACAATGGAATATTATGCAGCCATCAAAAGGAACAAAATCTTGCCATTTGCAACGACGTGGATGAAACTAGAGGGTATTATGCTAAGTGAAATAAGTCAATCAGAGAAAGACATGTATCATTTGATCTCACTGATATAAGGAATTCTTAATCTCAGGAAACAAACAGGTTGCTGGAGTGGTGGGGGGTGGGAGGTATGGGGTGGCTGCGTGATAGATATTGGGGAGGGTATGTGCCATGGTGAGCACTGTGAATTGTGTAAGACTGATGAATCATAGACCTGTGCCTCTGAAACAAATAATACATTATATATTAAAAAAAAAAAGTAGGAAGGGAAAAATGAAGGGGGGGATATCAGAGGGGGATACGAACCATGAGAGACTATGGACTGAGAAACAAACTGAGGATTTTAGAGGGGGGTGGGGGATGGGTTAGCCTGGTGATGGGTATTAAAGAGGGTACATATTGAATGGAGCACTGGGTGTTATATGCAAACAATGAATCATGGATCACTACATCACAAACTAATGATGTGATTAATATAACATAATAAAATAAAATTAAAAAACAAAACAAAACATTGGGGCGCCTGGGTGGCTCAATCGGTTAAGCATCTGCCTTCGGCTGAGGTTGATCCTGGGGTCCTGGGGTCAAGCCCTGCAAGGAGCACCTCACTGGCCTCCCAGCTCAGTAGGGATTCTGCTTCTCTCTCTCCCTCTGCCCCTTCCCCCCCGACTCATGCTCTCTCTCTCAAATAGATGAATAAAATCTTAAAAAAAAAAAAAAAAAGGGATCATAGTATCATGTTGTTATGGCTAGTTTTCAGGTTTAAATGGGATAATAGATACTAAAATTTTAGTATAGAGTCCAGCGCCAATTAAGAATGCAAAACCAGTAGCTGATACTTTATTTTTTGTGCTCTGTTTAGTTATTGTACACTACTGACCCTGATAGTTGACTGCTCTATTCATTTCATGTTTTCTCAAAAAATATTTTATTATCTTCCACAGGATTTTGTCTCTACAATTATCCGTTTACTTGACAGCCCCTCAACTTCCATTAGAGCAAAAGCCTTCCTCGTTCTTTTATATATTTTGATTCATAACCATGAGATGCTGCTGCTCAGCTGCCAAGCAAGGTATGATTTTCTCTGATATGGTTTCATCAATAACATCAATTTGGAACCTCTTTTATTGTTAGTATTTCTTGACCTCTGTATGCCTAATGCTGAAATTTTTTTTCCTGGACTTTCCTATGGGTTTAATTTTTCACATACAGCTGCAGCTGGGAAATACATTGGACCGAGAGAAGACCTCTGGAGCTGAGGCAGGGTGGTGGGAAGGAGCTGGAGTTCCTAGGTGTGAGGACGATCCAAGTCAGGGTGTTAAAGTTGGTTCTGGCTTGCATCTTTGGGAGGCATTCTTGATTCGTGGTTTGGTCATAGTTTTCACTTTTGTAATATTCTGGAATGAGCAGCTGGAAGCCCAGCGGAATAGTCTAGTGAAGTGTAGAGGAAGAGGTAGAGCAGGGACAAGTTTCTGGACTGGACCTAGGCTGGGCAGATCTCTCCCTTCCTGGGTTCCACCTACATCCTCGAAAAGGAGAACCTGTTCTGACACACCTCAGATTCCCTTCATGCTTTGAGGCTTCCTGATGAGCATCTGGACTGTCTGGTCCACGCAAAATTACAACCCAGAGGAACCTTGAATATATGGTTGAATGTCTGTTTCTTGATTTAGCTTGTTACTCACTGTAGAATACTGAGGAGACCCTAGAATTGCTGAGATTGATCTAGATTAGAGATTGGAAAACTTTTTCCTGTAAATAGAGAGTAAATATTTTAGGATTTATGGGTTAAGAGGCAAAATTGTGGCTATTTGTATTTACATAACGAGAAAAACTTCCACAAATTTTTTATTGATGAATGTACTTCTATAACAGGAGAGAGAACCAATATCCACAGATTTTTAAATTGACATAGGAAAAATATACTAATAAATGAGTACAATTTTTTTTTTTTTTTGTAATGCAGGTCTACAGATGAGAAGAACAGAATTCTTTTTCTGAGGGAGAGAGAACATTTTGCTTAATTAGGGATCAAAGTCAGTGTCTTCCTCATCAAATCAGTTGTAAATGTCTATGTTAGTGCTCATTGCTAGCTTAATTTTGTGTACCTTGTCTTTGAAATGTCTTTTCTTATAGATAGGTATTGTCACATACCAATATTAGTTCATGAGTATGTGATTTTAATTGAGCATATTCATTGCTTGGAAGGCATTTGTAGGATTCTATTAGATTCTTCCTTGACATCTGCCTTTTAGCATGTCCTTATGTTGCAGGTTAATCAGACTAAGTGAAGGGTATGTCGAAGCTCCTACAGAGCCTCCTTTCTTGTCTCAGGGATCATCGTCCAGCTTTGTTTTACATTCAGTGTCTTGAAAACTGATGTTTCACATATTTTGTCTATCTTGTAGTTGTGTTTTTTAAAAACTTTTTATTTAAATTCAATTTAGTGAACATATACTGTATTATTAGTTTCAGGGATAGAATTTAGTGTTTTATCAGTTGCATATAACACCCAGTCCTCTTTATGTCATGTGCCCTCCTTAATACCCATCACCCAGTTACCCCATCCCCCATCCACCTCCCCTCCAGCAACCCTCACTTGTTCCCTATAGTTAAGAGTCTCTGATGGTTTGCCTCCCTCTCTGTTTTCATCTTATTTTATTTTTCCTTCCTTTCCCCTGTGTTCATGTGTTTTGTTTCTTAAATTCCACGTATGAGTGAGATCATATGGTATTTGTCTTTCTCTGATTTCGCTTAGCATAATACCCTCTAGTTCCATCCACGTTGTTGCAAATGGCAAGATTTCATTCTTTTTGATGGCTGCATAATATTCCATTGTGTGTGTGTGTGTGTGTGTGTGTGTATACACGCACCACCACAACTTTTTTATCCATTCATCTGTCAATGGAGCTCTAGGCTCTTTCCATATTTTGGCTATTGTGGATATTGCTGCTATAAACTTTGGGGTGCATGTGCCCCTTTGAATCACTATGTTTGTATCCTTTGGATAAATACCTAGTAGTGCAATTGCTTGGTCGTATGGTAGCTCTATTTTCAACTTTTTGAGGAACCTCCATACTGTTTTCCACAGTGGCTGCCCCAGCTTGCATTCCCACCAACACTGTAGGAGGGTTCCCCTTTCTCCGCATCCTTGCCAACATCTGCCATTTCCTGACTTGTTAATTTTAGCCATTCTGACCAGTGTGAGGTAGTATCTCACTGTGGTTTTGATTTGTATTTCCCTGATGCTGAGTAATGTTGAACATTTTTTAATGTGCCTGTTAGCCATTTGCATGTCTTCTTTGGAGAAATGCCTGTTCATGTCTTTCCCCATTTCTTGATTGGATTATTTTTTCTTTGGGTGTTGAGTTTGGTAAGTTCTTTACCATAATAAAATAAAATTAAAAAACAAAGCAAAACATTGGGGCTCCTGGGTGGCTCGGATTTTGGATACTAGCCCTTTATATGATAAGGCATTTGCAAATATCTTTTCCCATTCCATACATGTCTTTTAGTTTTGTCAACTGTTTTCCTTTGCTGTGCAAAAGCTTTTTATCCTGATGAAGTCCCAATAGTTCATTTTGCTTTTGTTTCCCTTGCCTTTGGATATTGTTTAGCACAAAGTTGCTGTGGCCATGGTCAAAGAGGTTGCTGCCTATATTCTCCTCTAGGATTTTGATGGATTCCTGTCTCACATTTAGGTCTTTCATCCATCCTGAGCTTATTTTTGTGTATGGTGTAACAAAGTGGTCCAATTTCATTCTTCTGCATGCAGCTGTCCAATGTTCCCAGCACCATTTGTTGAAGAGATTTTTCTTTTTTCCATTGCATATTCTTTCCTGCTTTGTTGAAGATGAGTTAACCATATTGTTGACGGTCCATTTCTGTGTTCTCTATGCTGTTCCATTGATCTATGTGTCTGTTTTTGTGCTAGTACCATACCGTTCTGATGACTGCATATTTTATAGTTGTTTCAAATGGGAGCATGCGTCCTGTCCCTTAGTCCATTAGAACTGGAAGCTGAAGTTCTTGTCTATTCGTAAAGGCCTCTCACCACTCACTTTGCTGCCTCTACTCTGTGTGTCTACCATCATTTTCACCAGGGCAAATAATATAGTTTCTCAACAGATGTTCTTACATCATTTCTTAGACTCATAGTCTGGTCTTCATGTAGGAACTAGAGAAGCTCTTACACAGTGTGAATTGACTTTTGTTTCTTCCCTGCTCAGACTCTTCTAAAAACATCCTGTCATGCTGAAATGATAGCCTTGGCCTCCTCTGCCCTACTTCACCTAGTCCCTGCCCACCTGTCAGCCTGTGTCTTCTGACTCTTCTTGGCTCTCGCTCCATTCCAGCCACATAGTTTTTCTTACTGCTTTTCGAACACGTAAGCCTACTAGACCCGCCTCAGGGCCCTTCCCAGGTACTGTTCCTTGTGCCCATTTTGCTTTTCCCCCAGAGGCTGGCTTCCTCAGGTCATTCAGGTTTCTGGTCAGTGTAAGGGTCTCTTCTTCTGGGAGCCACTCTGCTCATCCTGTCTCAAATCCCCCTCTCAGGCCCAACTGCAGAAACCCTTTAACTGGTGAGAATCAAAGCATTCAGACCATCAGAGCCTGGGCATGGTCTATTTGGTCCTCCCAGGAAACGGCTATGGTTTCTGTGTGTCTGAATGAATATTTAGAAACTTGAGCAGTGGTGGGAAGATGGTGGTCTGAATGCATACCCTGGCCCCAACTTCCACCCTGCCGACTCTCTGGAGCTCCACAGCGAGCAGGATGCGTGTAGAAAAGGAGCCTGGAAGATGAGGCTTAGCCTTGCCGGAGAGGTGAGGACAGGCTCTGTTCTTCCTGTGCTTTGTGGCAGAGTTGACTCGCTGTCTTCTAAACCTAGGTGAACGGCAGATCTTGGGGCTTCCGCAGGGTCCAAAATGCAGATGCTTTCTATGTTTGGTTGTTGGGGCCAGCATGCCTGTTCCCAGGAGACTGGGAGCAGGACTGAATGGGGGCCAATCTGCCCCCGGTCGGTGAGGCTGCAGGCAGATGACCTCATTTCCTTGCACTTGAAGAGAACAGCCCCCTCTCACCACCTGCCTCTTTGCCACAACCTGTCCTGGTCAGGTGCTGAGTAGATGAAGTCCTGAGTAAGCATATTTGTCATAGTCTGTTGAGAGAGACATGGTACTTGAAGGAGGAGAAAAAAGAACAGGCAGCTCTTACTGGGACAGAAGGAATGGAATTGACAGAATTTTAACAAACAAGTAATGAGAACTCTGCGGAGGGGCACTTTTTTGAAATTCAGCAGAGGAACTTAAAGAGCATGGCCTCTGCTGGGGATGGTGTTAGGGCTTTGAAAGGGGGTATGAAAGAATACCCTGAACCACACCGAGCTCCTGACAGAGACCTGGACAGTTCATGTGAAAATAGGAAAGATGGAGTGAACTTCCAGGAGACCTCACATGCCCTGAATGCCAGGGGGAGGAAAGGAACCGATGGAGGGTTTCTAACTGAAGACATGTTAGCAGTCGTCTTCTGCTCAAACATGTTCTCTTCTGATACTGTACCGAGCTGCAAGTAAAGGAATGAGAATGTCACAAAACTACAAAGGCAAAGGGAAAGATGGCTAAAATCGATGAGCCTTGTCACCTCATCTTTGGGTTTTGGAAGCTGGAAAGCTGAGAGATGAATGCTTGCTCATTTAGCAGAATGGAGATTGCCGAGGTCCCTTTTTGTCTGCAAGGGGAAAGCCGGGAGGAGATCTGATGCCTGCATGACAGAACTCTGGAAAGGTTGGGAATTAGGGGTGCCTGCTAGGTTTGATGGCGGTGGTGAGGGGGAGGGGAAACTCAAGGCAGGATTGATGGGGAATCTGCAGGGAGGGTTAATCCCCACCCCCTCCTCCAACACAAACATCCAGGAGACTCTGCCTTTTCTGTCTCAGCAAGAGACTTGAAATGCATTCTGGATAGTGTGAACTGGAAATGCTGCCAATTTGGGTATTTTCACATATAGATAAGAGGGAGGTGAGGTAGGTGCCTTGTGAGAAATCTGAGGATTGTTTGCAAGTCTACTTACT